GGGAAAATACTGAATTAACTTTAGGACTTCAGCTGGAAGCTCGTGTCTGTTCTGTGTGGGACTACCTTCATGTAAAAGAAAAGTTGAATGTGTGTAAAATTCACACACTGACTGAGAGGATCCATGTTATCAGAGGGTTTTCCAGTGGATATTTGTGCTGGATGTGCCCACCGTGCAGCTCTGAGCAGAACATAGCGGTGACTGCTGTGTGAGTTAACTGTTTATCAGGTAATAAGAGCTGCAGAGACATGGTGTGCAGGGCTGTCAGGTTCGATGGTGTCTAATTGGTGTTTCAGCCACAGAGACATGTTTCTTACCATCACAGAATGGGATTTGTTTGCTCTGTTACTAGAAAACACTTCTCTCTGTATCTGCTGCTGACGTTTAGTTAGTTGTAAATGTAAAACAGACACTTTACAAAAAACATAAAAACCTAATTTACCTCCTTTAAAAGGAACCCTGCATTAGTCAGTTGCTCATTGTTGATCCTTATTTTTGATACACATACACAAAGAAAATAACTCCATGAAATAATTTACAAACCAACACATCTTTCTGTGTGTGTCTGCCATTTTAGCAGCTGGAAGAAAAACAGCTTTGTTTAGTTATATCTTTTTGAATACAAAAGTATAACAAAATATTTATAACACCTCTCATAAACGTTTAATGAAAGTATCAGAAAGATGATTAACTTTAAGAAACAACAGGACTGATGATCACTGCCACATATTATGAGTTCTAACATTTACTTTTATTCTCTTTTTCTTGAATCAAAACTGTATTTGGATTTTTTTTAGTCATGTTTAGATCGCAACCCCAAGGCCTTCACACCAAAGATTGCTGCTGGGAGGTCAGGCACGGCCAAAGGACGCCACAACAAAGGCTGTAACTGTAAACGCTCAGGATGCCTGAAGAACTACTGCGAGTGCTATGAGGTTCACTCACACACACTTACCCTGAGCTTTACCTTTTTATACAGATCAGCATCCTGCTGAGGAAGCTGTTGATGCCAGCGATTTATTGCAGTTTTTTTGCGATATGCATATTGTGCAGGCTGTTATCTTGATGATGATAAGTTTTCTATTAATTGTGCAGCCCTACTACACAGTGTTGTCTCACTTAGCTGTAACTGTTGGAAGATTAGTTTGTGAAAGAAAAGTTTGAAAATAGTGATGAAACGTGAATTTTCAGCTGAAGTTTCATTGAAATTAGGGCTGTAACTAACGATTATTTTAATAATCGATTAATCTGTCGATTATTTTTCCGATTAATCGACTAATCGGCCAAATCATTGAAACACTTCATTACATAATTATGAGT